CGTTGTGGTTGAAGGCGCGCTGTTTGCTCTTCTCGCGCACGCCGATGGCAACCGTGTAGCTGAGCGCGCTAGCCTCCATTTTTGCTTCCGTGTCCCGGAGCCCCGCCAGGGCCTGCTGCCATTGCCCGCCTTTCACATGCGTTGCTTGCCGCGGTGAAGGTGAGGACGTCGGGTTCTGCTTCGTTGTCGCACGTGCTGGTCCCATCGCTGTAGCTGATGACCAACTCGCTCGACCTGACTCCAGCAAAGTTGTCGCCGCCGAGGCCAACCCCAGCTTTGTAGCTGACCTGCGTCTCTGCAACAGCGCCGCTGCGGCTGGAGCTATTGCTCGCCAGGGGGTGGAGGAGAGGAAGGAGGGAGGGGAAGGCGAGGGGGGCGAGGGAGGCGGACTCCGTACCTGGCACGGAACATGCCCGTCATTGCATTGTATCTGATGACGTTGGGCACCCACCTCTCTTGATGCCGAGCTCTTGACGTCGACAGGGTGGCTCGCAACCGCAACGCCACTTCGAAGTTGGCGGTTGCACCATCCGCGCGCGCCCCCGCAGGCCAGGGCGGTTCGGACGCGAAATGGCCTGAGGGGGAAGAGGAGGAGAAGGAGGAGGAGGAGGAGGTGGAGGAATGCTGCAAGAGGAAGGTGAGGAGGAGCAGGAGCAAGAAGAGGAGGAGGAGGAGGAGGAGACAGGAAAAGAGGGGAAGGAACGGACGAAGACAAGGAGGGTGCGAAGTCGGGCTTTGGAAGTACGTTGTTGTGGGAGGTTTTTGAGGGACGACGAAGGCCATCTTAGGGGTTCTCTTAGGGCCCCCGTGGGGCCTCTTGGGACAGAGGGCTGGTGGGATTTCTAGCGGGCGTGGCCCCGACCACGCCTGCGCACCCATTTCACCGCCTGCCACCGTGCACTGCCGGAGGCGGAGGCTGAGGCAGAGGAATCGGAGAATGAGGCTGGTTGCCCCTCCCCTGCACGTCTGGACGTCTCCCTCTCTCGTCCACCATCACCCTCTTTCCCCCGTCCGTGACGCCGCACCCTGAGACTGAGGTCTCGATGGCTTTTCACATCGCTAACCCTCTCACTCCCCGTGCTCCAAGCACCCCTAACTTCTCCCCGCCTTCCCTCCCGCCTCCTCTCTCTCTCATCCCTCATCCCCCCCGCCAGCCCCAGAATCATAGCACTGTTCGGTGTAACACTTTGGGTATCTTCGGGAGCATCCTGCAATCATTCCAGAAGGCCCGAGAAGAAGCAGCTGAATGCTGCACAGTCTGCAGCGCCCCGTCATGACAATCGGCCCCGCTCCGGAGAATCCTGCGCGAGAGCCAGAGCGCCCGCCAAGTGCCCGCGACGTTTCTAGTTTACGCCGTTTATGTGTGTGTGTGTGCAACGTAATCTGCCCTTCCAGGTGAGGACGTGGGAAGGGGGGAGGATTCACGCCGTCCGCAGGGGGCTGGAAGGGGCCAGAGGATCGCGCCGCATCACCAACGCATCGGCGGTGCGGCTTGATCTGATGTTGGAGCCCGATTTTCTCTTTCCTCACGACAGCGGTACATGGGCGATGCATGAGCGATGCGGCACGATCAGCTCGGACCACATTCGGGCGACCTCCAAAGGAGGAGAGGGGGGAGGACGAAGAGATCTTTGTTGGAAGTATGAGGATGACCACGAGGAGGAGTTCGGCTACGCTCGAGGAGGACGAGGAAGAGTACGGGGACGAGGAAGCGGGAGATGGGGGAAGACGAGGTGAGCGATGTGAGGAGGAGTGAGAGGGATGATGCTGATGTTGATGCTGATGATGATGATGATGATCATGATGATGATCATGATCAGGATCAGGATCATGATACTGATACTGATACTGATGATGATGATGCTGATGCTGAATATGATGCTGATGCTGGTGTTGATGGAGATGATGGTGGTGATGATGGTGATTGTAATGGTGATGATGATGATGATGATGATGATGATGATGATGATGATGATGATGATGATGGTGGTGCTGAGTCTGATACTGCTGCAGATGATATGATGACGATGATGAGGATGATGATGATGATGATGATGATGATGATGATGATGATGATGATGATGATATTGTTCCCTACCTAGTCTCTGCCTGGAAGAGTTCTTACTCTCTGGGCTTAAAGGGCCGGGCAGTGTAAATCGCCCCGGGCGGTTCCCCCAGTATCCGCCCCGCGGTTCCCCCAGTTACGCCCCCTGGGTTCACCCAGCTTAGCTTAGCTAAGCTAAGCTTAGCTTAGCTTAGCTTATCTCATCTTAGCTTAGCTTAGCTTAGCTTAGCATAGCCTAGCCTAGCCTAGCTTAGCTTAGCTTAGCTTAGCTTAGCTTAGCTTAGCTTAGCTTATCTTAGCTTAGCTTGGCTTGGCTTGGCTTGGCTTAGCTTAGCTTAGCTTAGCCTAGCCTAGCCTAGCCTAGCCTAGCTTAGCTTAACATCGCTGAGCTTACCTTAGCTTAGCTCAGCGCAGCGCAGCATAGCGCAGCGCAGCATTAGCACAGCATAGCATAGCATAGCATAGCCAAACATAGTATAGCATAGCATAGCTCAGCATAGCATAGCATAGTACAGCATAGCATAGCGCAGCATAGCATAGCAAAGGCAAAGGCAAAAGCAAAGGCAAGAGCAGTAGCAAAGGCAATGCAAAGCAAAAGCAAAACCAATGCGAAAGTGTAGATGCAGATTTAGATGTAGGTGTAGGTGTAGATGTGGATGTAGATGTAGATGTAGATGTACATGTAGGTGTAGATGTAGGTTCAGATGTAGATGTAGATGTAGATGTGAGTGTAGTTGTAGATGTAGATGCAGATGTAGATGCATGTGTACATATAGATGTAACTGTAGGTGTAGATGTGGATGTAGGTCTAGATGTAGACGTAGGCATCAAGCTGTACTACTATTACTACTACTACTACTACTACTACTACTACTACTACTACTACTACTACTACTACTACTACTACTACTGCTGCTGCTGCTGCTGCTGCTGCTTACTACTACTACTACTACTACTACTACTACTACTACTACTACTACTACTACTACTACTACTACTACTACTACTACTACTACTACTACTACTACTACTACTACTACTACTACTACTACTACTACTACTACTACTACTACTACTACTACTACTACTACTACTACTACTACTACTACTACTACTACTACTACTACTACTACTACTACTACTACTACTACTACTACTACTACTACTACTACTACTACTACTACTACTACTACTACTACTGCTGCTACTACTACTACTACTACTACTGCTGCTGCTACTGCTACAACTGCGACGATGAGGAGAAGGAGGAGGACGGAGGTTACCGTTACTACTAATGGTGCTCTCTTCGGGGCTCCAACTCCTAGGTAGGGTCGCTCTAGGATAGTTGATGATGATGCTGATGATTATGATGATGGGGACAATGATGATGCCGATGATGATGTTGATGATGTTGGTGATGCGAATGAGGATGATGCTATTGTGATGATGGCGATGATCAGGATGATGCTGATGATGATGTTGACGATGATACTGATGATGACAGCGATACTGCTGACGATGATCGTTGTGGTGGCGGTGATGGTGATGATGGTGGTGATAAGGCAGAAAAAGAAATTGATGATGAGGATGATGGTGATGATGAATATGATGGATGACGATGACGACGATGGTGACTACGACGATGACGATGTTGACGATGACGATGACGACACGATACTGACGATGATGACGACGATGGCGAGGATAGCGATTCTGACAATGATGTTGACGGTAATAACGATGATTGTAATGTTGATGATGATGACGATGGTGATGCTGAAGACGATGATGTTGATGATTGTGATGTTGATGTTGATGATGTTGATGTTGATGATGCTTGCTGATACTGATATGTATGCTCATGATGCTGAACTTCATGCTGGTGATGATGGTGATGGGGACGATGATGCTGATCATGATGATGATGATGCTAATGATGATGCTGCTGCTGCTGATGAGGATGAGGATGTTTATGATGATGATGATACTGAAGATGATGCTGTTGATGATGATGATGAGGATGATGATAATGAGTATGACAACGATGATGATAATGCTGATACTGATGCTGATGCTGATGCTGACGACTTTGCTGATGATGCTGATGATGTCGACGACGACGACGATGATGATAAGTATGATAATGATGGCAGTTGGTGCTGGTGACGATGTCGATGACGATGGCGATGACGTTGATGATGGAGATGATGCTGATGATGATGTTGATGATGATGATGATGATGATGATGTTGATGATGCTGATGATGAGGAAGAGGAGGAGGATGATTAGGATGATTAATTCTGACGATGATGGTGATGGTGATGGTGGTGGTGATGTTGATGGTGATGATGATGACAATGGTGACGACCATGATGCTGCTGTTGATGATAATGCTGGTGTTGATGATGCTGATGGTGCTGATGGTGCTGATGATGATGATGGTGGTGATGATGATAATGCTGAGGCTGATGCTGAGGCTGAGGCTGATGCTGCTGATAGTGATGATGACGATGGTGACGATGCTGATCGTTGTGGTGGTGGTGGTGGTGGTGGTGATTATGATCACTATGACGATTAGGATGAGGTGGAATAGGATGATGAGGAGGAGGACGAGGTGGAGGAAGGGAACATGGAGGAGGAAGAGGAGGAGGATGAGGAGGAGTAGGAGGAGGAGGATGAAGAAAGGGAAGAGGAGGAGGAGGAGGAGGACGAGGAGGAGGAGGAGGAGGATGATGATGATGATGGTGACGATGATCATGACGACGATGATGCTGCTGATGATGATGATGATGAGGAGGAGGAGGAGGAGGAGAATGGTGAGGATGATGAGGATGAGGAGGAGGAGGAGGAGGAGGAGGAGGAAAGGAATGAAAGGAGGACAAAAGGAGGAGGACGATGGGGTGGCTAGGGCTGCCCCGCGGCGCCTTTCGCGGAGGCTCCCGCGGCATCGGCGGCGCCCCCTCGGTGCCGTCCGGCGGCGCGCTCCACGGGAGGTGGCCCCCAGCTGGCCGGGGTCGAGTGCCGAAGGTCGAGAAGGAGGAGGCGGAGGAGGAGGACAAGGAGGAGGACGAGGAGGAGGAGGACGAGGAGGAGGAGGAAGCCATGGGGTAAACGGGGTCTATCCTTCTCCTCCTCCCTCCTCCTCTTCCTCTTTCTGCATGTCGATCCGTGTGCATGCGTGGACACTGCGATGGACCGATCCCGTGGCTGTGGGCAGCAAGAGGAGGAGAAGGAGGAGAAGGACGAGGAGGAGCAGGGGGAGGAACCCAGCAACCCGCCGTCATTCCTGGCGCTCGCCAGGTCCATGAGCCCCCTCCCCGAACCATTGGCACACTGAGAGCCAAGCGATAGAAGGCCCCTCTACCTAACGATCATTTGGTCCTCCTCCTCCTCCTCCTCCTCGTCCTTACGCATCCCATCTACAGGTACCTCCTCCGCCTCCGCCCTCCGCCCTCCTTCTCTACTTCCCTACCTCTTTCTCCTGATGGGTTGGACCCGGGACGCCATCGGCTCGATTCGCCGACGAAGCCCATTTGTCAGCCGATCGTCCAAAAGCTTGTTCGTCGCTCAGACCCCGCCCAAATACCACACGTACGCACGTGCGCAGGCACATTTGCTCGTGTAGTTCGACCCTTTACCTGTGCGCGTCATCGCAGGACAGTGCCTGACTGTCTAGTCAACAGGTAGCTGGAAATCGCCGAAATGCTCCCGTCGTGTTTTTTCCACGACGCGAGGGGATCTGCCATGGCACCCGGCCCCCATCAGCCGAAAGGGCCGAAAAGGTATGTGACCGAAAAAATCGCTGACCGAAAGCATGCCTGAAGTTGTGACCGCGAACGTACTGGGACCGAAATTGCAACCGAACTTGGAAATCGCCTTGGTTTCAAACCAAGAATTCCGGTCACACTCTGGCGCGTTCGGGCAAATTTGGGCGCCAGTGTCGGTCACATTCGGGCAGGGTTTCGGGCACAGTTTCGGTCACTACACCCCCGTGCGAGAGACAAGGCCGCGCGGGGTCCATCTGCACGGACCCCATCAGGGAGGCCTCTAGATCGACATCCAGTGCTCCAATTTTCTCGATGCGCGGGCCCCACAAGGTCAGGACTACTTCCCTGCAGGGCCGGTTTTTCGTTGCGAGTCGTCTTTTGACGGCTCTGGGGCCCGTTGAGGGCCCCCAGAGGCCGAACAGAGCGCAGAGCCGTGCGCTTCAACTTTGTCGGAGCCTCGGATCGGAGGAAATTGGGCGGCTGGTTCACTCGGCAGAGGCTGGGCCGCACAAGGACGTACCAGTACCTGTGTGCCTCTGTTGGAGACGCACGTCCGACCAGAGCATCAGAGCGGTGTGGCAAGAACGCGCTCGCCACGGAGCTTACACTATACGATGTCTGAGCCTGTGCATCGACCTTGCGTGGACGACACACACGTATATATAGTATGAGCACGCTTGGGGGATGCCTATGGTGCTACACCGCCGTGGCGAAGGGTTCGTCGTCTCTCAGTGATCTGGGTCACCTGACTTCTCGCGGGCGCAGGAGGACATACTGCAGGATCAGTCAGCGTCGCCCTTACGTGGCCGACGCGGTATAGTATGCGCGCGCACGGGTGATGCAGAGCGGCGCCCGGCTGGCCCAGGTGGCGGCCGCGCGCCTTGCGGCTCCGGGCCGCGCGGCGCGCCAGCCGCGACGCGGGGGCCCCGCGCGCTGCCGCGGCTGTCCGGCAGGCGGCAGCGGACGCCGGGCCTGCGGGTGGCAGGAGCTGGCGGTGCGCCGAGGTCGCTGGCGACGATGGTCAGAGGAAGAAAATGCACTGATACCGCTACACTTCTTCTGTTTTCCCCTTATCGGGCTTCCTGGGAGGCCCTCGTCGCCACCGCTGGATTCGCCTCGAAATTCTGGTCAGAACACATCCTGGGAGAGGTCCGGGAGTAGCGCTATCGGTAACTTTTGATTTCCCCAGATAGGGGCGAATAGCCCAGGGGAGGGTAATGCATGTATCCAGGGGCGCCGATGGTCCATGTCTTCGGCGAGTCTCCCAGAGGCGTCGGCGACGATGACGACGACGACGACGACGACGACGACGATGACGATGACGACGACGACGACGACGACGACGACGACGACGACGACGACGACGACGACGACGACGACGACGACGACGCCGACGACGACGACGACGACGACGACGACGACGACGACGACGACGACGACGACGAAGACGACGGCGGCGGCGGCAGCGGCGGCGGCGCGCCAAGGCGGGTTCGGTAGCAAATCATGGGAGCCTTGTGTGTCCTCGTGATGCTAAACGCTTCGCGTAATCCCACCAGCCCATCCAGAAACGATAATGCGACAAGCATGAGTGCGTCCAAGTCGCACGAACGCAAACGCTTAAAAAAAGAAGAAAGGAGGGGAGGGGTCGACCACCGAGCCGCTATCGCGGCGGCTTGCCCTCCCGCATCCTCTTGATACGGTGCTTCTGCACAGCTAGGGTCGGGGGGTGGTCCGAGGGACCCCTTGCAGGGCCGTTTGAGGGCCACCACCTTACCCGACTCCCCGACGTGACAGGCACAGCGTTCGCAGAAGGCGACGCCGTTGACCTCGGCCATCCGATGGCCGAGGTCGTGGAACAGGGCCCAAGCCGCAGGGTCCCGCCCCCCAGAGCCCCGCGCCAGGGGCCCAGGAGGGTCCGACGGGGCCCCACCACACGGCGGCCCAGGCCACGAGGCACGATCGGCGACCCCCGCCGAGGCCGACCCCTGCCCCGAAGCAGAGCCGCCCGCCCCCACAGGGCACGGCTCCCCATTGGGCCCATCGGGGGTGGGGGCGGCTCCCAAGAGCCCCCTGCGCCAGGCCCAACAGGGGCCTCCGCCGAGCCCTCGGGTTCAAGGGCAGGCTCCTCAAGCAGCCTGTCGGCCGCCTCCAGCGCCGCACAGGCCCCTCGGACACCACCAGCTCCCAATCATTGGGCCCCGCCCAAAAACCCGATTCGCTTTCCACAGATCGAACGGGGCAGGACGGGAGCGGGCAACGGCAGCCTACCCTCGCCGATCAACGATTCAGGCAACTCGGTAGGCGGCGGGGGTAGGGTTCGAAATTCGTCGAGCACGTGGCGAAATCCGAACCCTTCCCCCACCTCCCATCGATTCAGGGAAATCGATGGTTGGTGGGGGCAGGGTTCGGATTCAATGTCCGTTCATGGGAGCCTTGCGCAGCGACACCGAAATCAGTTTTCCCTGCATGTGGACCGATGTGGACCGCAGTTGGGCCTTCCTCCTGCTCCGCCCGTCTGTTCCTCCTCCCCCTCCTCGTTCTTCTCGTCTCCTTTGTGAATGGGCGAATCCGATCTGAATCCGTTCCGAATCAGGCCCACATCGGACAGCGCTGGTGGCTACGTAGCCTCTCGTGGAACGGGCACCCAAAAGGGCGGCGAGCCAAGGGCGGGCCAGTGCTAAGGGTCGAGGGAAGAAACACGCTGATAATGTGACCACAATGTCGAGGGGTGAGGTCGACGCCGATCTTGGTCATGGTCCATGCCAGCAGTCGCCGATTCGCGAGGATGTTCCACGAGTTTACGCTGACCCAGTGGACGGTGACCAAGATCGGCACGTCGTTTCCGTGTTCAGTCGTGGTCATGGTGTCCGCTTTCTTCCCCTCCAAGGGGGACAGCTTTTCATCAATCATTTTTAGAGGAGGATCAGGGGCAATGATTGGCGCGTGGAGTTTTTTTTTTGTTTTTCGGGGCTGGGGGTGGTTTTCATCAGCTGCGCCTCGTCGAGGGCGTTCCAGGAGTGCCGGAATCGTGCCGAAGGACCGCCAGACAGCAGAGTTCTGAGCCGAAAGCCAAGGGGCAACGCCGCCCTCTCTCAGCAGGCAGCCCCGTGCTTTCTCGGGAGGCTGGCCTACCCCCCCCCGAAGCTGGAAGCCGCCGCCTGAGCGACGAAGGAGAACGAGTTCGTCTTCGCCGACATCGGCGCGCGAGTTGCCTGCGTCAGGTCGCGTGTGAGCGCCCTCGTCTCCAATGCAAAGTGCTGCGCTGGCGGCCCGCGCAAGCCACCGCGTAAGGTCGCTATGCCATCGCTCGTGCGACCTGTTTCTTTTCGTCGCTCACCTGGTCCTGGTTCGGCCAGTCTTGGGCCCAGGACTGGCGGAAAGACCCTCCCCGTCCTTCCTGGGCCCCAGGGGGGGGGTGTGCGCCGGTCCGGGGGTCCAGGGCCCTGGGTGGGCCGTGGCCAGGGCTGCCGGTCTTGCATGGTGCGTGGTTGCCATCTTCGGAGGCCCAGAGGTTTCGGAGGTGGATAGACCTCCTACCCTGACACGTCGATTAAGAAATTGGCCGTTTTCGGTTCGCGAGAGGCGTCGTGGCCGTCACTTTTGCGGGTCCAGGTCCATCGGTTTCGGTCCCAGGCCGTTTTAACTAAGGGGAGGTTTACTAAAGGGAGGTCTGTCCACCGCCGAAGGTTGACGCCAACACCAAGGTCGGCGGTGTGCCTCGGCCGAGAGAAGGTGGTCCCGATCTCTGTGATGGCGGTAAAATATGCGAGCTTCCCAGGTGGCCGAACAATTTCCACGAGCACCGAAATCTAGGACCATCCTCCTACGGTGGAGGCACCCTCCTGTGTTGGTGTTGGTGTCCATTTCCAGGCCTCCAACGCCTCCCATGTCGAAGAAGCCTTTAATTTTCGGAGAAGAAGCAATGACACAAACACTGCTTAAGACTCTGAGGTCCGCGAAGATTTTTCGGATCGGCGTTGGAGCCCCCCAGCGGCGCCTTTTCCGCCGCCCTCGCGCCGATCCGAGATTTCTGCGCGGACTTCGAGTTTTGGTTGGGTTCTCGTTTTGACTAGAGCACTGTGGTCTCCACCTCTCCTCCTCCTCCCACTCCTCCCGCCTCCCTTCTCCCTCCTCTTCCTCTCTCCTTCCGCCTGCCTCCTGCCTCGTGCCCGCGGTCTGCGAAGCTGTCGTCACTTTCGTGGGCTCTCGGGAGTTCAGCGGAGGGGTGTCCCACGGGGATCACCACGAGACCTCGCCGTCCCTGGGGGGCTGCGATCTGCGAAGCTGTCGCCACTTCCGTGTGGTGTCTCACGGGGATCACCACGAGACCTCGCCGTCCTTGGGGGGCTGCGATCTGCGAAACTGTCGCCACTCTCGTGAGCTCCTGGGAGGTCCAGCGGAGGGGTGTCCCACGGGCCATTTGGGGGCGCTCTTGGGAGCCTTAGGAGCGTTCGAGGGGCCATCTTGGAGGAGATCAATCAAAGAAGAGGGGTTCAACAGCTTCCCTCCCCCCTCGGGAGATCCAAGCACCGCCTTTTGGGGCGCTCTTGGGGCTCTGTTGGAGCGATTCTGGGCGTTCTTGGGCCGTCTTGGTGCTCTCTTGGACCTCCCCTGGGCCCTTTTAGGCCGTCTTGGAGCCATCTTGAGGTCTCGGATGACAATCGGAAACGAAAAGGCGAGAAAGCAAACAACACTGGTTTCCCTTAGGTTTTGGAGGGATGTTGCCCACTTCGGGGTCTCCTTGGGGAGCTCTTTGGCCATTTGGAGCCGTCTTGGAGCGGTCTTGGGGCCTCTTGGAACATCTTGGGAGCCGTATTGAGGCATCTTGGGGTATTTTGGAGCTCATCTTGGGCTTTCCGAGGCGCTCTTGGAGCCATCTTGGGCCATCTTGGACGCTCCAACCCCTCGGAGGGGACCCCCTCCAGGTCCAGGGGAAGGGGTACGGGTAGGGGTCAAGCTACCCACCCGCCCGCAAGCCGTCTAGCTCAATCCCACGTCGTCCCAGCACAAGTAACACCCGAGCCTGAGCATGTGCAGCGGTCGTTTTTGGCTGGGCAGCTACTGGGAACCAAAGCCGACCCCAGGTGCGCGACGCTTGGGCGAGGGGCGCCACGCGTGCTAGGGGCGCCACGCGCGCCAGGCACCCCTGGGGCCCGAGCGTGCCAGGCACGCCTGGTGCGCCAGATGCGCCACGTGCTCCGAGTGCGCCAGGTGTGCCGCACACTCCAGCCGCGCCAAGTGCGCCACGTTCGGGCCAAGTGCTTTCGCGCACGTGACAGCACACATCGGGAAACATGTCGGCCCTTGCCATCCTTGTCGAAAACCAATGCCCATCATTGTGTCTGGTGGGCCTGCGCACACCAGGCCACGCGCCACCACCCCCGCCGTCCCTGTCAAAAGCCACTTGATAGTGACGCGAGGTGCATGTTGTATCGTTTTTTGTCAGAGAGGGTAGCCCCGCGCACAGCAGAGGAATATGCTGACACCCCCGCCGTCCTGGACAAAAACAATACAGAGTGTTTGCGGGCCTCACGAACACATGACTCAAGACTTTGCCCCAAAGTGTATTTGGCATTGTTTTTTTGTTGACAGGGATGGTGGGGTGGGGTGGGGGGGAGGGGGCGCGCATCGGGTTGGCCGCGCATGCTCCAACTGTGGAGGCAGAGTGCGGCTTGTTTTGTTTTTGTTGACAGGGAGGGGGGGGGGCGCACGGGGTCGGCATGGTTCAGGGTTGGCCGCCGGCTGGCTGGGGCAGGGGGCGTATACTAATAAGGAACAGTGATAAACTCTTCCCCGAAGGGGAAAGGGGGCAGATGGAAGACAAAACACCCTACACCACCTACGCCCTAAAGGGCTGACTATTGCATAATTGTTCGGCGCTGCGCGCTCAAAAGAGCTCCTGTGGGAGTCTGGGGCCGCTCGTCTGTGGGCATTGATTGCACGCGTGTGGGAAGTCCAAAACAAAGGGCGGGACCTTAACGGGCG